TCCTTTTCGGTCTAAGACCAAGCTGACGTCAACGAGCGCGCGCTCTTTCAAAAATCAAATCGAGGTCCCTTTTCTAAGGTCTGTGCTCTTATCGAACATGGAATGGCTTCAGCATATGATCCAAACTTCGCAATTTTGCTGCGCTCGTGGTTCCATTTGAGTTTGGATCATATGCTGTATAAGAGTACGGACCATAGAAAAGGGACCTCGATTTACAGAGCGACCTGGTTTTGATGAGCGTAAGTAACATATTTGTCTTCACAATGATATCACAAAGGGCGTGGGAGGTTGTATGGAGTCCATGGAACCCCCTCTGGATACGTTATTGCAACATACGTTTCATGTTTTCGTATTTTAGACTCCTCATGGATAACCAAATAGCGTTCATTGCCTCTGGAACACTACAAAGCATTCGAAATCTTGGCCATCTGTAAGTAAACCTTTCATTTCTTCGTTTTTTAATTACTTTGTGTTTTCTTTCATCGTATTTCTTAAAACTTCGTGTTTTGTAGAGATTTGTCTGATAATCGATTGACATCAATTGAATATGGGATGTTTAGTGGCCTGAACAGGCTCACAACATTGTAAGTAGATTGTAATTCAATTCAGCTTTTTAGTTTAGAAAATTCACAGAGATCTTTAAAGTCGCGAGACTTGCAAATAATTAATAATGGGTTCTTGCGCAAATCATATCGGAGTTCCATGCATATCCATGTATCCATATAGAAAAGCACGCGCGTAAATACTTTGATTGCCCTCTTGCTCGTTATTCGTTACGAGCTTACTAATGCGCGCACTTGGTGTTTGAATACTGCAACCATACTACTACACTATTCACAAATAAGTGATTTTGAAAGAAAAAAATTTCCTTGATATACACTTTAAAATATTTTTTTGTTGTTGTCTTTTTGATCTAGGCTGATAGCAAGAAACAGAATAAAAGAAATTGCCCCTCGTTCATTCACAGGATTGGTCAGACTAATGCGTCTGTAAGTGTCTTTCGTTCAGTGCTAGATAGATGTTTAGTTCAAGGGATACTTTTAAAATATAAAATAACTGCTTTACAAACTTTTAATAGGAATTTGCAAAAGAACAACTTGAGTATGATTGGAAACTTAACATTTTATGGTCCACACAGATGGTTGAAATATCTGTAAGTAAATATATAGGTTTCTGTCTTTGTCCGTCCGTCCGTCCGTCTGTCCGTC